CTCTACATTGTGATTTGGAGTACATGCCCTGGCGGAAAGGTATAGTAGTTTCCTAAACTTACCTCAAGAAGTTTAACAAGATCTCTATAAGTTTAAATTTGTCTACAAGCATCGTTGTTGAAGGACTCTCCGAACACAACGACGACCATGTGGCTCGACGCACCTCAAAAAAGTACTATGGCTGAATCTGCGGTTCTCCGCTGTGAGAGCCCCATTCTCTCAGATGGTAAATAGTTGAATTTAAGACTAAAACGTATAAAGTCGTCTTGGTCGGAATATCCTGATGAAACATTGAAAGCAATATAACCGTAATTATATGAGAATTAGGTACGGTACTCATTAAGAGATAGAACTTTAACGTTAGAGTTGCCATTATTTTGGTACAACACATGACAGCATCGATAATTTGTTTGATTTTATGCTCTGACTGATTTGTATGCGTGATGACAATATATGCAGCATACATTATTTTTGAATTGCAGAAGAAAAACACGAAAATTGGGCCGCCGAAGCGATCCCTTGCGATCCATTCCTAACATCAACTCCTATTAAAGATCAGAGGGTCGAGAGCAAAGAGCGAGAAAAGGAGAACCCCATTGCTAGTGCTATCTTATCTCCCGCTGACAAAATCCTAAGCGATGGACTGGGCCATGTTTACGGTAAGAACTATGATCTCATCCTTTATCGTCCACGCCTATAGCGTAGTCCTTAGACCAAGCAAACTTTATAATTTCGCAAATTCAGGCAATATGGGCACTCTGCCGAAGTTCAGGACTGAAGAGGATGATGCCGATGACGCATATTACACCTACACAGCATCCAGAAGATATAAGCAGTCCACATTCAACAAACCATAGACATATTATATGTGGATCATGAGTGATTACTGCCTGATTGATCAATTATCCATTTATATCTACTGCCAATTCATCGTGTATTAATTCTTTCATGATCTCCTTTGTTCTGTTCACTTTTCTCAGGAACGGCGTTTGAACTCTTGCCAAACTCTCACTCCATTTTTTTCTTTGTGATATGGGCCAACAACGATCTCATTTTGTACATAGGCATTGATTGCGATCGAGTTGATTTGACTTGTTGGTGCTCAACTGCCAATAAACTATTTTTGTAGGTTTAGAGGAGACGTTCATAGTTTGGCATTTTTCAAATTTTGTGTTAGAAAAAGCATAAATGTTGGATTTACTTGCATAGAAAAACTTGTTAGATCGCAACATTAGATGATGTATGATGTTTT